ACGACTTATGTCTATATTTCGACCCACTTTTGTCCGAATTGTACGCACTTGTGTCCACTTACGGACGGCGGAAATCGAGCGGAATCGACGTTCACGTCACCGCACGGCAGAGAATCGACTAGCCTCGGAACGTCTCAGAACCTCCCAAAACCGTGTCCACGGCATCTTTCGTATCCATGGCTGCCGACTGACTGCGGACCGACATCACGTAGTTGCGTAGTGAACTGCCTCGACATGCTGTGTTGCTGCCCTCACGAGTCGGTGTGCACTCGTCGTGGTGGTTCGTGTTTTTTGTGTGTGTGGCGTGTGTGGCGCGTGAGTGTTTTTATTATTAGCACCCCCCGCGCTAACCGGCTGACCAATGAAAAGACGTGTGTGCGAATGTGTTGTTGCTGCATGCGCGTCTTTTTGTTCTGTATGCGCGACCCGTTGGTTTTGTTGTCCGTTTGTGTTTCACGCATTTATTTGTGGCGTGCCGTTAGTGCGCTACTTGCCGGGTTTGCCGCGGGAATCTTCCCGTGCCTGGTATCCTCCCATGCCGCTACCGAAGGGGTCTGGCATGTTTCTGACATGTTCCTCCGCGGTCGGCCGGCAGTCAGTCGGCAGCCATGGATACGAAAAATGCCGTGGACACGGTTTTGGGAGGTTCTGAGACGTTCCGAGGCTATTCGATTCTCTGCCGTGCGGTGACGTGAACGTCGATTCCGCTCGATTTCCGCCGTCCGTAAGTGGACACAAGTGGGTACAATTCGGACAAAAGTGGGTCGAAATATAGACATAAGTCGTGTACATGAAAAAATTAGTAGACGCCGCTCGGTATACCCACCATGATGTCGGACAGAAGTGGGCACTCTGGTGAGGCCTCGCGCGCATCGGCGGTATCAGGGCCGAAGGTGAGCCTAAAAGTGGGAAAAAATCGATGCCCGTGCTGTGTATGGTCCCTGGCTGTGTCGCCCAGGTGTTAGGGGTTTTGAGTCGTTTGGGGGTCGCCTATGGAGTGGGTGCGCGCTGGATTTTCGAGTACCCACTTTTTGTCCGAGAATGGCGTGGGTATACCCACGTTTTGTCACTTCCCCCTTTCCTGAACCAAGGCTAAACATTTTTGCGAATGAGCTTCTTTACCGTTCCGGCGGGTTTTCGTCGCTTGCTAACGACGCTGTAAAACAAGATGATCGCTTCATGATATCGACAACTAGAATACCTCATTTTTTCCCTTTGTTCTTTTTTTGCGGTAACCATAATGGTGTCGATAAGATAATAACGTGTGTAGCGTGTGGGGTCGAGATCGCTCGCTCCGCGCAAAGGGGATTATCGCATCAAATTATGTTGAATTGGTCAAGCACCCTCGAGGCACTAACAACATGCTTACAACTGTCTCTTGAAGTGAAGCACCACAACATGAATTAAGTCATTCGAAGTTGTCATCCGTACGCAAGGAGGTAAGCACAAAATGCCGAACACCCTTAGCAGGATGCAGCGCACCCGTCATGCGACTCGCCGCATACCTCACGGCGCTTCCCCCCGCCATCGGGGTTGGGTTTTCGTCGCTTGGCAACGACGTTGTAAAACAAGCCCCCCCCCCGGGGGTAGCAACTTCGCGAGGTGTGAACGGTGGATTAGTCAGCAGTGGGAAGGGAAAAAGGGAAGTTTTAGCAGGACACTACAAGAGACTTGGAGTGCCCTCGGAGAATGAAGCTTTTGACCAAGCGTTTAAGA